AATATGAGCACATTTGTGCGGAAACCCATTGGTGACCAGTACAGAGCTGCAACCGGTAGGGTTTTTTTGATAGTATAAGAGTCATCATTGACTGTTTTCATCTCATATCAGTCATATCTTACTCTGAATCATTACACAAATTATTTAAGACTTCTCTTTCATCACTAAGAAATCTTTCTGCCACATGGTTATAGATACAATCAGAAGAATATGGCAAAAAGCTTGATCCTATCTTCCTAATTGACTCCAAAGATCGGGTAAACCCTGCCTATTGATACACTCTTGGCCCGACGAAAGAGATTTCGATGTCTAAAATGACTTGATAGTTTTTCAGTAATGTTGACTTTCTCTCTCGGCATAATTTGTGATCTACATAATGAAGCTAGACCAAAAGTGCTCTTTGTAAATTATTGGTTACACAGAGTGCCGCATTAAAATCTGTCGGAAACATATGAGTTTTGATTCATTTCATTAAGACTGTCTAGGAATAAAGACCGAGTGCTTCATTTTACTCCAATATTACTTAAATCTTCAAGAACAATCGAATTTTAGGGGTTTAATCTCATATAATATGAAATAAAATAGATTCATACTAGCATACTCTTGTCACATTTTGATATTATATTGAAAGCAGATATAAAGCTCTAGAGCAGAGCTTTTACGGAAGTACATACATAGTATTCAAAATGCATAATAGAAATAAATATCTAATAAATTACAATGATAAAGTGTGATGGCGCTTTTATTCTACCATGGAACTTGATATATGCAAAAATTAACACTTTTATCATCTATTTTTGCAAAACATGAGAAAAAAAGTAATCATATGGACTCAAAGTGACTGTAACTATGTGTGAGATGAGCAAATGAACAGTTAAAAGAAATCACAGATAAATTTATTCAATAATGTCCGAAATACTCATGGGTCACTTAGAATGCTTATTAAGGAATTAAAAAAATTGGCCAGAACTGAAAAGAGTTTAGAAAATAAATGTTTGTTTTTCGAACATATTTTGAACTCTCTAGTGACAATACCATCTAAAATATTCAAAGCCCCCATTCTCTTCGAATAACAATACATAGAATTAATATTACACTTTCGACGATACAACTGAATTGGAGTTTGATTGCATTGGCTTTAAATACTCAGTATATATTCAATGGAATTCTACTGCTAAAAATATAATACTTGTTGAAGTAAGATTTCATTGAAATAATGCGAACTTTCTTTACTAGAACATTTCCTTCATCGAAAATTTAAAGTATGCATCGATTAATTATTCTTATATCATAATCTAATATCTTTCGTCATCATAAAAGATATTATTTGATAGAAAAAAAAAGATAAATGACTTACTAGAAGTATTTTCTATTATTCGATACTGTTGCATTCAATTGCAAGCTATACAGACCTTGATGAATTGTTTAAAAACAGCGGTATCCCATGTTGATGGGGCTTTTTATTGAGTGGAAAAAACCTTCGCTTGGGTTTACAGAAACGTACTGAGTAGTAAAGCTTCTCTTCACTTTTCACAACTCTACTAGTCATGAGTAACCTTATTTGTCTGGTCTCGAAAATATTTTGTTGCAACTCACAGGTGTTGGATGGCAGCCTAAAGCTTTGTTTATTCCCTTGCAAAACAGGTTTGATTTGAGGGGTGTGAGTGTGGACTTTTATGTTTGTACAACATCATCAGCCAATGAAACTTCTTGCCGATGTTGTGCTCAATGATCCTCGTCTAAAATACCAGCATTGGTCAGAGAATAAACCTGTACTCATTAAACAACTAACGAATGATCTCATACAAATCAGTTAATTACTGGGAATGTGTAAAACTCAAATAAGGTGTTACATTTACCTGTATAAGTAAAGGCAAGTGTTCCAATTTCATTGTTATGAATTTTCATGCGAGTAGAAGTTTTCTTTTTGTTACATTTATCTACATCTATTGTTTACAAATGGGGCTCTATTCTGTATACTCTATACTCTCCATAAATTCCAAGTAAAATTATACTGATTTTGGTTTTGTTATTGAATTAATACCTCAAACTTATAAAATAAAGAGAAATAGACGTGGAAGATTGGGCTATTCCTAGCGTTGTGGCGCTAAGTATATAACATATGGAATAGTGTCTTGCACGTAGCTTACCACGATCAAGAATTTGAAACCAATGATGTGCAGTTGTTGTTGGAAAGAATTTTTTTTAAAACTGGTGATGTTTGCTTGACTTTTTTGCAAATGGCTTTTTTTCTTACATTTTCTTCCATAGCAACATTATTTAAGCCATTCCTATTTACTTTACCTCATCGTCTTTTTTTTTCAAGCATGTGCACCAGAGATGCGACTACAGTCGATTCCGAACCGAACCAAACCGACCGAACCGAAATCGGTTCGGTTAAAAATTTTTGAAAACTAAAAAGGTGGGTGTGGGTGGGGCTTTGGCAGATTTTATATTGATACCGTAACCACAGCAATACCCAAATCAACATCCTACACCCACCCACACCCACATCATTTGCTTTCTGTAAATTTTGATGTGATGTTATCATTCTTCACCAGTAATTCATTTCACTTACAGGAAATTATAAGTTAGAATATAAACTACGAGTACACCAAGATATTTATTAATGAAAGGAAATTTCTTTTGAAAATGTCTCTACAAGTAATTTTTCTATGACACAAAAAGATTTAACAAAGAAAAGAAAATACATCACAAAACATGAGTTTATTTCTTTTTGAGTAGACCTTTCAGTCTTGTGCAAGACTCAACAACAGGTGTTATTTGAAGTTCTTGCCACATGCTTCGAATACGTTCTTTCTCTAGTTCTTGTTTGAATTGCTCAACTGTTTCATCATCTGGTAGTACATGAATTGATACATTAATATCAACCACTCGAAGGGCCGACATGAGAGGAAGAAGACAAGTACAATCGAATATTTGTTTTTCCTTGAAATCAACAAAGCCGTACACTGTAAGCTTTTTCAAGACGACTAATTGAATGAGAAATGAATACAAATCAACGACAGGCCAGTAGTATATTTCGAGAACGAGACTGCAAAGGTGCACATGTGGATGAACAAGCCGATGGGGTCGACGCGATCCAAAATAAATATGACGAACTACTGGAAATAAGTTAAGCGGATCAACGAAACAGAACGAAGTAAAATATGATGGTATTTCGACGTATTGCAGAGACGATGATACGGGTAGAGAAGATGGTAAGCCGTTGTTACATTCTGGGAACGAAACGTAAGGAGCTTTCAATGTGAAACACTTAAGTGTGGAGTGAGCTAATGCAGCCGGAATCAAACCATGGCTTTCGTCCTCTGGATCCTCGTAGTCATCTTCACCATTCCAAAAGTATCCGGTGATGTTAAGTTTAAACGATGTGAGTTTTTTCAAAGCTAAAAGCTGCAATAAACATAATTTTTTTTCATGCGACATGAAATGTAGCCCTAGTAACATATGAAAAAATATTATTTTTCATACCTCTTCACTCGTTTTTCTGAGTCTATCTGGATGGCCGCACCGTGTTCGTAAGGAAAATGAACGCAGATTGATAAATTTTGAAAGACAAACTGAATTATGATTTAATGTGAGTGAAATAATTCGAGTTGCATCAATTTGAGGATGAAGATGACGCGATTCAGATGATAGTTGGACGTCTCGAAAATGAAAACAATGATCATTGAAGATAATCCAGTCAAGATGTGAACTGACATTGGTGAACGAATGGAGAATTTGTTCGAGATTGAAATATTCGAGCAGTTCGTAGAGTAACTCTACGCTCAATGACTCGAATGATGATAGACCTATTTTTGTAAATTGTAGTAAGTGATACAAAAATTTTGACGTGTTTACCTTTATTTTCAAACAAAGAATCTCTGACATCCATACACATGAATCACACGGGTTTCAATATTGCTAAATAGTTATATCTAGAAAAAAAACACGCTTCCTATCTGCATAATGGAAAGTTTCAAAATCGTATGTTGCAGTCAGCTGTACAGGTGTTTTGTTTATTTCATAAGGATAAAATGTTAATCTGACAATGTGTTTGTCATTTTCTAAATTTTTTTAAGAAAATTTCCTGGAATCATAGTGACTATCATTCGCATACCATATATGATTAGATATGAATATCATATTGACTACGTAAACATTTAAAAGATTTCTGTATCAATGATGCGCTACTGAAAAAGAATAAACATGCATAGCGGTCGAATAAATTGCCAGCTAACAATTAATTAATCAGATACAAGAATGAAAATTCACTGGTTCAATAGTATTCAATAGAAATCTTGTTCAGAAATGGAGCTACTTGTCAGTAATGTCTGTACCATACGGAAAAATCTTTTCATTTTTTTAATAGTTTCATGATACTGAGAATAATTGCGATTATATATCTATTCAGAAAAATAAGATAAAAGCTTACCGTAGATGCAGTCGTTGGGAAGTATTAGAACAGTTCATGAATAGTGTGCAAATAAATAAGGTAATGATCTATCTTTATCTTCTATTGGTTCAATAATGAGAAAGCAAGAGGTCATGACATCTATGGATGCTCTGACCGTATGCCTGATAATAGTTCATCCTGTTTTCATTTCTTTCTCGTTTCCTCTTTCGTATATAAAATCGAATTCTGTGTGAAGCAAATACAAATGGGACGATAGAGTAGTGTTCTGAGTATAACGATATGCCGTCATCGGTAATAACGTTATTCCTACAAGTTTATCGATACTGATCATAATAAAAGATGTGTTGTAGTAGTGATGAAATATAAATTCATTTCATTCTCCTTCATTTTCGTTTACAAATAATATCAAATATATTCGTTAGATAAACTTCAGTTGGATATATTAAATAATATATAGAAAAGAGACAGATGAATGAATGCTCCACGATTGAACGAATTCAAATTCTATCAGCAATGTCATACTTGACACTTGAATTCAATTATTGAACTTTTTATTGTCACAGTTACTGTTCAGAATAATAATGGTCATATAGGTTCAAATGGAAAGCAGCGCAAATTATTGCTGAGCACTACAACGCATTATTTAATTAGTTTCGCCTATTTTAAACATTATAATCTGATAGCAGTAAGAATTCACTACTAGTGTTATCAAAAAACTGAATTCTTAATGGAAGACCAAGTCACGTTCAAAGTCAATGACTAGTAGTTGAGAGAGGAAATGCAACATAAATATATGACAGAATGTAGAACAACGAGCAGAGCTACATCTTCTTTAAATGGTATTCTCCACCAATACTATTTTAGTTCGTGGTATTAATACAATCCTCTACGAAATCGTATTTGGTCAAAAATCGATGCGTATGATTTTTCAATTATGGAAGTCAATAGATCAACAATGTAAAACCTACATGACTGAAATGTATTCTGTAATTGAAACATCAGCAACGAAGAAGATGTACCACCTGCTATTTCTGAATGTGTTGTGAACAACGATACTTCAAAAAATCCATTTCTTCCAAGTCACCACATGTTGATGTTATTGACCAGTAGCAAACACCTTTTTCTATTATCTCAACATATAGCGTCTTTTATATACTTTAATTCTTATCAAATAAACTAATTAATCTATGTGAATTAGTGACAGACACAAGACGCAATAGTTAATACTGCTGTTTATCAAGTTAGTATTTCCTAATTCAACAATAAAATGATGTAATTTTCACTTTAACCAATGCATATACACAAAACCACAGAAATTTTGAGTTCAATCAACATATACTAATATTATATTTAAGCGATACCTGTGAAATTAGTAACTCTTTAGAAGTAAACATGTGCACTTACATTTATGTCACTACAAAAAGTAGGAAAACTATGGATATAGATCATGAACCAATATCAAGAGAAAATATCTAAATAATCTTATGCTTATGAAACAATTCATGAGTAGATGATGATGCAATGTTCGATGGTTCACTATGGAATTTTTATGGCTTTCAGAGTTCCTGTACTAATAATAGATTAGAAGGATGGCATCATCGTTTTAATATTAATTTAAGTCATAGTATAAATCGACAGATATTAACTATCGGAAAATTACCGACACAAAAACATTATTCGTCAATATGAACACTCGCCGGAAAGATTTAGAAAATTAGTATAAACAACAAAGCTTAACTCTGAAAGGATGACATTTTTAACAAGCTTATTTTCTTTCATTTTGTTTAACCAGTCTATTCGACATAAAGAACCAAATCATTCAAATTATAATTAAAAATCATAATCAAATTGTGGAAGATTTATCTTCGAGCTACTCCGTTGGTGTTAGCATTGGATTTCATTAAAATCGAAAAAATTGACCGCCCTAATACTAATCCAAAATTATAGTCTTCAGTTGTATTTGAAAAAAATGATGAGATGATCAACGTAGTATGTATAACCATTATATACTATTAATCAATAGTGATCATTTAAAAATGAGAAATAGGTTGAATAAACATAAATCAGCTAGATAATCATTTATTTCAATATAAACATCAGTTATTTTATCAACAAATAATCGTAAAATGATCGAAACGTCGTGAAATTTCAAACAAAAAGTTATCCTTATCATCGATTTCATCGTAACATTAAATTAAAAATTCAATCAAAACATTTTTTTTCTATTGTATAAATGAACTAGAAGAAATATTAATTATAACTGCCTCGAATTTATATGCACATATGGTAATATGGAGGGAATCGCCTGCTCCTGCAAAAGTGTTTTTAAAACAAAGCAATGTACTTGTAAAATGAAAAATCTATTTTGTTCGACGAAGTGTCACATAAATGGTTCTCGTTATGTTAATTTCGAATGCTTGAAACATCAAGAATTTGTTTTTGCTAGAATTCTTATGATTAGATGTTGTACTTTGTTGAAATATAATATCATATACCATGGTTTACTTCATGGGTTTAATGTTAATGCAAGATTTGCAACGCTAAAATATATATGTATGCTTATTTGAATAGAAATGAAACAATCAACAATTTTTTGTAAACAAAACGCATAAAAATTACGCAATTCTTGTCGATCAATGATGCAATGACTATAAAAGAACTGAAAAGAAAAAAAGAACTACCGATGCTGGGATTTGAACCCAGACTGAGAGGTTGAAGGCCTCTTATCCTAACATTAGACTACACCGGTATGATCAAATCATCGGTGAAAGATGTTTGAGTTTTGCTCTATCAAGTTATGGTGAACATAAGTATATATCTTTTTGTGCTGTCAATTGCAGTTTGATCGTTCCGGCCATCGGATACTGTACGAAATATGCTGGAAAATCGCCGTATCCTACAGGAAAACACCGTAGCATGGAAGCAGCATTCCGACCAGATTTCCCGACGATTCAAAAACAAAATGCGAAGATATGAATCATGAATTATTCATTTGCAACAAATCTTTCTTCAAAACAAAAGGTTTCAACTGCGAAAAATATCCACATGCCTTTATCCATTGGTTATGCGTCGAGTGAACTTTAAACCATGAAAATAGTTTATTGTCAAAAGAAAAACAAACATTGTTATCTTTGTATCTATGTATGATAGATGCGATTTTCACATACGAATGATAAGATCTACATTTCTTTCTCGTGCATCAATACTGAGAGTGCGTGCTATTTTTTAAAACATAACACTCACATGTCATAACATTGAAAAGCGAGTATAAAGGTTCATAACTGTTTCATCTCTCTTAGTCAATCTAAAATAAGCAGCCAGAAGGTAAAAGAGAGTATATCTTCGCCATTGAACTCGTTCAAAAAGCAATCTGTCATGATACCAAATGATTTATAATATACAGCAATATGGCGAATCAAGAATAAAACGTTAGGGAGAGAGTGATATAAATGGTATTTTAATGGTCTTATTATCGCTCGCTTTCTTTTTTTTTATGGCAATAAACACATTCTTACACACAGATAGATACTTTTTTCTTTTCGTTCTTTCTCACTCTCTTTCTCATTCAAATGACAACATGTCACTTTTGACCTTTTAGTGGTTGAACAGTAGCAGCATTCATGTTCATCATTCTCGAAGCTACAACTTTCAGTTATTTTTCAACCGCTTCTATTCAATTCTAATCTCTAGGTATGGTAAATAGGAACTGATATACACGTTTGAAATTTAGTTTTTAAATGATAAGAATAATGATCTTGTAGTTAATATTATGGTTTTTATTTCTATAGAATCTTCTCAAGTCACAATGTCCACAATTGTATATGTAAATTCTTCGCCAACTCGTTCAAACGATCATTATTCTCAATATATTTACGCCTACGATCATCAACAGAGTAGTAATAAGAATATGGAACAAGAAACACTAGAACACAGTCGCCAGATGATATCAAACGATCTGAAGGAAGATGAACATTGTCAAGTTTGTGGTGATTTAGCATCGGGATGGCACTACGGGTAAATTAGTTATTTTCTCATTGATGGCTGAATATTTTGTCAATATTTTTAGAGCAATAACATGTGAAGCATGCAAAGTAAAAATAAAATCGAGTACCCTCTTTGATATTTTGTAATAAATGAAAAAAAAAACTATTTAGAAATTCTTTTTACGTTCAATTTCACCATCCAATGGAAAGAAACAATTGAAATGTCAAAGAAATTTAAGTTGTTCAATGACGAAACGTTCTCGAACGCAATGCCAATATTGTAGATTACAGAAATGTATTTCTGTTGGCATGAAAATTCATGGTAAATTTTCTTTTCTTATGTTTATTTGTGTTGTATAGGAAGAATTTCAGAGCCAGCTGGATTAAAATTAGAAAATTTATATAAAAAATTACCATGTGTTATCTGCAATGCATCAGCGTCAGGTATTCATTTTGGTGCTGTTACATGTGAAGCTTGTAAAGTAAGAAAAATAAAAAATATTTTACGACGAGATTATTATCTACAAAAAAAAAGGGTTTTTTCCGTCGATCGATAAAAGAAAATGCTCCTGACCGCTATTATTGTACTGAAAATAATAATTGCGAAATTGTTTCAACATCGAAAACAACTTGTAGAGCATGTCGATTTCGAAAATGCATTGAAGCTGGAATGTCTATGAATGGTCAGTAATACTATTTTGTCTCTTTCTATTCAACAGTGTTTGAATTAATTTTAGCTTCAAGAATTGGTCGCCAATCAAATCTTTTTAAAGAAAAGTAAATTGAAATGAATGATAATAAATTCTAAACAAAAAATTGACTACAATTAGTATTCGACAATTTCAAAATTCGTCCACGTCAATGGCAACTGTCACAGATTCGGCTCGTATTGCATCGATAGCTAAACGACGAAAAACAGTAACTAAAACTGAAAAAAGTAAAAGGGCAACTTTTTTCTAATTCAAATAGATATTTAAAACTGTTTTACGTTTTAGTATTTGCATCTACGAATGAAATTGATGATGAAATTTCACCAACAATAAAAGAATTCATTGAAAAAGTTCATTATTATTATCTTCTATATTTAAAGGTATTTTTTCTTTTCGCAACTATTTTTGTTCGTCATTTAACAAAGCAGAGATAATTCGATTGTCTTTGATACAAATCGTTTTATTTTTGCTTTTATATATCTATAGGATTTACCTCAATGTATTCCACGTGAAACCGTTTGGTCAACAATGGCTTCACAGATGATTATTTATGCTCAAGCCGTAATGAATTTTTGTCAGAAAATAATACCGGGTAACATACGTCATCATCATCATATTGCATCATACTTTTCTGTTTTTGGTCTTTTCTTGTTGATGATGTTGTTTTCCTTCCGTATTTGTTTAAAATTATTTCATATAATCTATTCCCTTTCACGATCTATACGGTGAAAGGGAATAGATTCATGTTACGAGTATTTTCTTTTTTAAAGCAAAAATTATTTTCATAGATTTCACAAGTATGCCTGACCAATGGGAAATTATTTCATCGTCAATTAATTCCGTTATTATTATTAAACTGTTATATGACAAAATACTATTGAACTCTTTGCATGAAAATAATCAATCAACATGGAATTATTGGCATGCAGAAGCAACATTATCCATGGAACTGAGTGCACATGCTCCGCAATTAATGCAAGCTGAAGATGCATTTCGATCATTTGAATTACAATTCAAAGATCTTCTTTTAGATGAAAAAGAACTGTCACTGCTTTTATTAATGCTTATTACTCGAAAAAGTAAGATCAATTTTGTCGACTGACAAACAAGAACCATTTCATTCTACTTCATTAGATTGTAATTTAATGACTGAAAATCACAAGTCTTGGTTAAAATTACAATATGAGTGTGTTGAAGCATTGGCCGAATATACTCAAGGTAAACGATATGATCGCCTTTAGTTTCGATTCAAAAAATTATTCATATTTTAGCTCGTCGTTCGAATATAAATGCACGAAGATCAATCGAATTTTGTGATATTATTTTCTTGGTATCACAACTACGATCACTGAATCATCATGTAACTCAATGTTTTATGAATATCCCATGGTTATATGTACAAAATCTGCCATCTTTCTTTTATTCTGTTTTTCTACCAAGTACGACACATATGTCCTTAAAATTAAACGGTTATTATGATCCATCATCGAATAGTAAGAATCATTTTGATACCGATCTATTCAGTGATCCACTAAATTATATAACATGAACGCATACATCATTCGTTTTCCTTTTCTTTGTTTCACACGCCTGCTTTAATATTCAGTTGGTATTACATATGTAGAAAGATACTCGTATTGTTCTTTTATTTCTTCTTCTCCGTGTGTGTGTGTGTGTAATTTGACTTTTTTACAGTTATTCATGGAAAATCTATACAATAAAATACTGTTTCCGTTGTCATCTGATGTTAAATTTCCTTCATCATGTACTTAGATAGCGAATTATACTACAGGTATGATAACCAATGATTTCTCATGTACATCTTGTTGGTCTTCTTTATAAAATATTGGAAAATTTCATTCACACAAGCAAGCAAACTGGTAGAACGAGAATGGTTCATAATCTTCTGCAGAAAGTCTTGAGATTTCTTTAGAAATAAAATATTCAACGAACGAAACTAAAGGATATATATCTGTCGTTATCTTCGACCTCAATTTTATTATAACATGAAAAGCTTAAATCATCAGCTAGCGATAGAAGACATGAAGGAAAATAGATGAATATTTCAGAATACCATTGTATTAATCTGCAGCAGTGTTTATCGAGATTTTTTACTTTAATGTCTTTGTTCCTTTCTGCATGTAGCAATATCATAATTGAAAGTTCATTCATACATACTTTCAATTTTATTCAATAAAGATTGCCATCTCATGATGCCTCACGGTATGTATATTTGTCTCTTAATCGTTTGTTCACTTTTTAAAGTCTCGTTTAAGATACAAAAATATTCAAACATTTCCTTAGTCTGAAGTTAGGCGATCCAGATAAAATCTGAGACGGAATGTAACGTATCTTTCAAATTCTAAATATAAAGTCAATAGTATTTCATGCGATCACACTTTCGCAAGAAATGTTTTATCTAAACTGTGTGTTATAATTGTGTTCGACACAGCGTGGTCCAAAAAGCAAAATCATCCTCTTTTTTTGCAAATCCTATTTTTGAATGTTTACCGTGCAGTTTTTAGTTCAACTCTTTTTACAATCGATAGATCTAGAAAAAAGCTCCTATGCAGAGCTGTGTTTCGGCACTTATTTTAGATTCGATCACGATTTGCCGCATACAGAACTTTACAATTATACGAAATTTCAAGTTAGACATAACTAATGCTTGGAGATAATTTTTGTTTTCCGATGAATAACAGATTTTGTATTTAATCAATCTCTTTTTCACTTTTCATTGACGGTTAAACGTATTAAAAATAAATTATTCTTCGCTGTATCTATTGCAAAAAGAATTGGACTAAAAACTGAATGGTAAAGATATAAAAACATAATTGCAAAAAAATGAGAAGTTTCATTTTTGGACTACTCCGTAGCTACGAGTTACAGCCAAACGCATTTTGAGTCAAAAAAAAATATTTACATGACCATGGAAACGATACGCAGAAACAAACAAAAGAGTAACACAAATAAAAAGTGGTTGCTATGTTCTATTGCTAGCAAATGGGTGTGTGGAGAGAAAGAAAAACATCACCTGTAAACACACAGTATATGTCATAGGAAGAGATTGTATAAATATGACAGTTTTTATACAGAAAAAAAGTAACTCATATTCATCGGCAGTTTACAGTACAGAAATGAATGAAGAAATCAGAAAAAACGATGTGCTAAAGTTCGATTTAAATATTGAGACGACGATAAACAAATGCATGACACAGGCAAAATCCGTTTTAATAAGTGACAAAACTATAGAAATAGTTTTTTTTTTAATTTAGAAATGATTGTTAACTACCATGTCCATTCAAAAAATTCGTCAAAGCTCTGATTGTCATTTGATCATTTCGTTACTTGGCATATCAAAAATTTCTGTCCTACTTTTAGAAACATGATACGTACTTCACATTAAACTAAAAGACAAACACGAATTTCATAAAACCAAAATTTATTTTAAAATTTCTGCCGGACCATAAGAAACAAAACAAAAGCAAAACGTAATAGATCAACATGATGTATAAATAGTATTTTTTAAAACAGACAAATCTTGTTATCAATATCTCGCAAGAATACAAGAGATTATTTTACGCTTCTGGTCCTGAATGATATTGTTATTGAGAATTCAGAGTACTTGTAAGTGTTGGCATATTTACCAAGAAAGAAAAGTGAGAAAAACGTAACAACAACACAAGTACTTGTTTTTTTGTATAACTTATTCACAAAAATATTCATATATCTATGATGAAATAGTCACATTTTGTTTTTCGCCTGATCGCAAATACAGCTAGAGAGCGAATTTATATTCGATAAGCTAGCAGCCTCTACTTCTGAATTTTACTTTCTACTTTTCAATTGCCTTCGAAAATTATGCTTTCAAATGAAGCGGAGATATCATTGATGGGATTCTCTAAAGATGAACTTCTGCATGTTTTATTAACAATGAAATAAACTCTATGAATAATTAAATTTTAATGATGCATTTCTTACTGTGGCATAACATTGCCCATAATTTTTCTAAATTGAGTTAAACTTGTTTTAATCATCCGCCTTTGTCATTCTTGGTATCGAGCTACGTTTCTTTTCATAACATTCAAATACATTCTGTCATGTTGAACTCAAAAAAAATGAACTCAACGATAATTCTATCTAATTCATATAGTTTTCAATGTGATATAGAGAAATTGTTGTCTATATGTTAGCAGCTTTTCCTGCGATAAAACGCCGTTTTCATTGAAAATATGAATACTTGGATTCATGCAACATGTTCGTAAAAGCAATCATCTCAAAAAGAAAATTCATTGTATGCAAGCTGCCTCTTGAAACTTTTTAACAACATTCTTTTCTTTTTGTTGAGTGAAAGAACGGTGCGTTAAACACATTTAAATGCACGACGCATAAATAAAGAAAAGAAAGCAAATGGATTCGAGCGATTTTTTAATTGGCGCCGGTTGTAGAGAAAAGAAACACATGATCTCTTATGATACATTAAAATTGTTATTTCGATGGCGTTCTGCGTCGCAAAAATGCATTATGAATATATTCACATTACAAGAGAGTGTGTTTGAACGGAAAAAAAGTGTTTTTTCTTAAAATTTGATGTTCAATCGTTCGTTGTATAATTTGTTTTTGTCACGGACAGGAAAAATGTCTACATTGGCGTTGGAGAGAATAATTTGAGGTTCATCGAGAGTTGATTCAATTCCGAAATTTTTTTAATTTAGAATCTCTTTATTAAATAAGCAATATTCACTGGTATCAACTGATGCTTGAGGCTGGTCTAAATCTTGTCTCATGATATTTCTGGCAATATTATTGAGCCTATTGTCTCATAGGGCTTCCCAGTACTTCTTCGATTTTTAACTAATGTCTTAGAAGATCGGGCTAGAAATGAGTATACGGTTCCAGCCTGTTAATATATTTTCAATGATTTTGCACTTTTACTTTTGCCGAGGTCGCAGTACTTTGTACTGCAACTAAAGGTACATTACTGGAAAGAAAGGACAGGTGTACTTTTCAGACAAAAAATAATTTTCGTGCTCTCAAGGACGGATGTAAATGAATTTTTCAGGCTCCATATAAATACTCTTCTTTTGCGATGTGCTTTGCCAGAAAAAAAATCGAATTCACCCAAGTATAAAGATAAATTTTCGTTCTCGACACTTACAACATTCTTCATTCAATTATATTAAATAATGGCAAAGACCGAACCAGTAACAATAGCCAATCTTGATGAACACAATCGATTAGCATTTGAAAGATTTCTAAAATTTGAACACGAGATGAAAGCTTCATCGAAAGAGCTGAATCCTTCCTATCGTGCTCCCTATCAAAACCTTAATCCAACTCCACTTGGATTGTGTGCATTTGCCTTAACAACATTTATGGCATCTATGTATCTGGCTGGTGCAACTGTTCTTGTTACTGCCTCTCTAGGTGTAGTTATGGGCCCTGCTCTATGTTATGGTGGACTCGTTCAACTTCTAGCAGGACTACTCGAATTTCGTAATGGAAACAGCTTACTTGGTCTTATATTTTCTTCTTATGGAGGATTCTGGCTCAGTTTTGCTTCACTTAATATATCTGCTTTCAGCTTTCTTTCTGGTTACAGTGATTCAGTTGCATTGAATAATGCTCTTGGTGTCTTTTTTCTTGCATGGACAATTTATACGGTACTGATGCTGCTGGCTGTTCTACGAACCAATTTCGTTACTATCGGTCTGTTCGTTTTTCTCATTATCTGTTTTGTACTTCTTACCGCCAGCAAATTTTTACAAGCCGATCCTAACTTACAACGAGCAGCGGGCGCATTTGGTATTCTCACTGCAGCCATTGCTTGGTACTCGGCTATTGCACATTTGCTGAATAGTATGGATTGGTTTTTCAAGCTACCTTTGTTTGAAGTTAAATGGCGGTGATTGTAAATGGAAAACCTGACTGAAATATTGCCGTAGACATTGAAAATAAGCAAAGAACAATTAATTAAGTAGAGAGAGCATTTTTTTCTGTATAGAATTTTAGTAGAATTCAAATAAAATTATTGGTCAATAATTGAAATATAATGAATTAACTTAGAGGGTGAATATTTGTACATCTTATCGAAAGAGAAATACTATTCTATCGAGCTTTTTACAAGAGGATGTGGGTATATTTTTGAGTCTCACTACTCGTTTAAATTACACGCTTGGAAGCGTATAAATATGTTAAAAAAACATCCAGCGCTTTTATTTTATTCTCTATACACGTTTAAAAAAATAAACAGCCATTCTGTGTTCGAATCGAATCGAGTTGCGGTCCTATAGAAGGTCAATAAAGCATCGAGAGCAACATAACAAGTCTTCTGACAGTAAGCGCATTAGCACTCTTAATCAGTCGATAAGGCGCTATACGTAATCTATAATATCAAATTTTCAGTGCGATTAAAATTCTTGAATCATATGTTTTTTTGTAAAATTCTTCTATTCTTCACCTGAATTATGAAGAAAGTAAAATGTGCCGATTTTTGAGAGAACGCATGCATTTCAAAGTGGCTTAATAAAAAATAAATGCAATTAGATATTATAGATTATCCATTTTATTTCAATTTTACGCCTATAAATATCAATTTTGATTAATTCAAATAGACACAATTGATAAAATATACGTTTCTGAAATAAACTAAGTGTTGTTAGACGTACGATAAATATTGTCTAAGAAGTATGTAGTTGTTGGTATTGCTTTTAGTTTCTGTGGCATTCAGGACTGCGAAGTGCTGATTTTCAAATGTGGTACATCGTTGGGGTACTCAATTTTTTTCTAAATGGAAAGAATTCATTTGGAAAAACTATCTGAAATACCTTCTCTCTTAAAAAGCAACATAATTTTACACTGTTCTCTATTAGATTTCGAGTTTATTGAGTATCTTTCACAATACAACACTGTCACAGTTAAGTCGTAATTTAAATAGAAGACCTATAATCCACAAAACAACACAAAACTTCCAATCAAGACATGCTAAATATTGTAATCAACTGGAGCAAGATTTTTTAGCATGACTACATTTTTCTTGTCGTCGAGCACATTTGATTAATTCAGGTTCGTTACAATTCATCTTACAGTTCAATCGTATTTTTAATTCAGCAGCTACAGTTTCACTATAAGGAAAAAAGAAAAGACTCATCAAAATTTATTTTGATCTGAAGATAGAAAACATTTAGATACAACAAGACTAAATGAATGAAAAAAACAGATACTAATAATTATTGGCTGATTTTTCACCAATATTGTTCGCTATAAATATCGCTATAGTGACGATATGAGATTCATTGTAAAACACAATTTATATATATCAAGAATCAGTTTATGATATGAAAAGCTTAAAAACCCAAATGGGGTACACTTGGCAGCCCTGGTGACATTTTGTATTGATCGAATATGTATCTAAGTAAATCTATAAAATTATGAATTCAATGCGGTATTCAAGTCAAAATATTTTTCCGTTAAAAATGAACCGAAAAATATTTGAATAGAAATTCCGTCGTTTTAGAAGAATCTATTTTCGGAGGTTCAATTGTAAATGTTTATTTTTAGAAAATTTCTGTAATGAATTCATGCGTAGATGGGTCATAATTCTGTTTTGTTTCAACAACTTCCTGGAGTATAAAAAATGCAAGAAAATTTCTATTGTAATTTTGACAAATGTACGTTCTATTGATAGATATGAAAGACGTAGTCTAGAAAACAAATGAGAAAATTCAATATCATGAATAAATGGCAAACAATTCTATACACAATAGAAACAATGAAGAATCGATGGAAATAACTGGATGTGACATTGTCCCTATTGAGTAATGAAATGTCTAAATAAATGACATCCACTCACACCCTCGTAAATAATATAAAAAGCTAATTCGTTGTAATACCAAAACAACAAGTACAAGATCTTCTCTTTAGCGAAAAGAGGTGAACAAAACAAAATTGAATCGCTAACATTTTTATCTAGGACTTGCATAGAAGAAGATATTCTGAAATCTTGCCTTCGTTTTAAAGCTATCGGAGTGTCATCATTTCTGTAAAATCTTTATTGTCAACGATTATATAGAGTGTGCATAGAAAAATATATTCCCTATTTGAAACGATCGTAGTTTCTCGAAACAGGTGGTTTGCCATTGGCCTATTTCACTGGCAAATCTTACTTGAATCTCATTCAATGCAGTGTAATTGAGTTGTGCAATATTTGTGACTCATTTAAAAATACGAAATAATCAAATAAAAACCTTTGTTTCCTACGCACGCGCGTCATTGTAGAGAAACCGCGGAAAATATATGACAGAAAATAAAAGTTGTTGTTTTATCAGTGGAAGCTTCTTTTCTGCACGTAAATATTCTCAAAAAGCTGGTAAATAATATTTATGACACGCTGTCAAAGGTTTTTCTAGAAAGTGCACATGATACGTTAATATTCTTCGACAACTATAAAATCAAATACAAAAACCAGCAGGTAATATTATTCTCATAGGGTACTAGTAAAGAGCAAAAAAAACCTTTTGGAAGTTCTATATCATACTAATTGCCAGGTTTTTTACTTATGATTATATATTTTCAGTATGAGTATCTATTTCATTGTCAATATCATAGTCTGAGAATTATACTTGCACGACACGATATACACAATCAGATAGATTTATGTCATACATTTTACCTGCTCTATATGTGACTCATTGTTTTACTCTTTCAGAATATTCTTTCTCATGCGACGATACACGATAAACTGATTGATTACGTCACAGTTGTTTGTTCACATTCACTGTTAATATTGATGCAAGATAATCTTGTCTCAAGTTCAACTAAATTTATATTAATTTTATATCGGAGCCAATAAAAGCAACGACATGTTAGAACAAATTCATGATGATTCCAAACCTAAACAGTCTTCTGCTGCATTCGATGAAATGCACAAATTCTTTAAAGGACCCAAATATCTATTGACCTTCAAGTTACCTCTATTTCTAATTGGAGCTGTAATTTATATTTTTTATTACATCGCCAAAAAAGTGCTTCTGCACTTGATCCGTTTGTATTTTGAAATACTAACATGTGCTGATTCGGTCATCAATGCGATGTTTAATTATACAGCATTACTCACCATAGCATTTCCGAAGTTCATTCGACATTGGAGAATAGAGTGTTACCGAAAAGTACTACAACCTACAGGATTTTTTATTAAAACTCGAATAATTCCTGCACTTCGACTCATCGGACTTGAGACAATATGGCTCAGCGGTCAGTTTTATCTATACGTTATTTTACCAACAGTAATGTTCTTATATAAGTATATAATCGTGCCTACTGTTAAGTTAATCATATACATTTCTAAAGCGTTGTACTTTGTTGTCTGTATAATTTTGATTCTGCTTCAAGAAACGTTTCTATGGATACGGGAATATATTATCAAAACATTATGCACGTATATATTTTATTATGTCCTGCTACCGCTTATTCATGGCATTAAGAAAATATGTTCGTTCATCTACATACTGAAGTTAATGTCAGTCTATATATTAATGGTTCACGTCGTACCCGCTTTCCGAGACCTATTATATTACTTGAAAATATATAACATTCGTCATTCTGTGAACGCTCTCTATTATATTTGTCATGCATTGGCATTTATGCACCAACACGTTTTCAAGCCTCTTTTTCTTAACATATACACGATCAGCTCACTTATTTGCGCCGAGATTTTTTCGCGAGTGCATAGCTTACTGGTTCATATCAGATCAGTTTTTCGAATCATATTCTATCGATTGCAAAAATTTGCTGCTGAACATCATTGGAGCGTTCGCGATCAGATGTATTATGCATGTGAATTCATAGTCCACCATGTTCTCAAACCTTTTTTTCGTGGTTTATTTAAATGCTTATACTTTTTTCATATTAATGTTTTACTACCTGTTGGAAAATTTTTGATTTACATGGTACCAATCATTCGGCGTAATATAAAACTATTTGGTTTGGATCCGATTCAGCGTGTTGCATTCCAGCTTGACTACTTTGCCTATGAATCTATATTAAAACCATGCGGTCAAGCACTCTCTAAAGCATTACCAATGTTCGTTACTACATGTACTGCTATTGCTGAGATAGTTGCCAATTCAATAAATACGATTGCTGGCGCAATATCAATAACAAGCAATGCTATCGTTTCTGCGATGCAATCTATTCATGTGTCAAATCAATCCTCATGATTTTTTCAATGTTACTGTATTAGTCACTTGGGCTGCGATTCGACCTATATTTTATCGAAAAAAGTAGAAAATTTTCGAAAACCGCTTAATTTTGCTACTGTTTTAATACGAAAAGAAAACTTTTAATATGTACAATCATGTGTTTTGGACAAATTCTTGTACTATATAGTGACATTTGTTTTAAATAGTATTTTTCCTTTCGCCTATTTAGTGGGCTGACTGAGAAATTGTTTAATACTAAATACAGAATGCAAAATAGTTCAAAAGATAAAAACATTCACAAAGTGATCATGTACTAGTTTCGAGTTTTTAGTGAAGTTTTAGTCAGATATAAAAGCTATATATATACTCCTAGAAAAAATAAGTTTCATTCTGTATTTTAAGGATATTGTTACCAAGAGAATATATTTTTTAAAACGCAAACGACATTTTCTGAAAGCCTATGAAATTTTACACCATCCTGTGTATATGCATTTTCATTTACACTTATTGATTACTAGAAAACATTGAGTTATGATACAATACAAAATAAACTTGCGGAAAAAAATAAGCGATGAATGCTGCTTATCAGGAGAATAAAATTAGGTTGAGATTTTTGGAAAGTCATGTCCGTAATCTGAAACGTCTTCTTTAATTATGAGAAATAGTATTTGTTTTTTCAAAGCTTATGATCTACTTTATTGCTATTTATCGATTTGTGAAACACTTTTAAAATGATCCTCGAATTAGCGACTTATTTCAGTAGAAAAAATTACATAAGGATCTTGGCTACGATTGAACTGTTTATAACAACTCCATTAAAACGATTTTCGAGCAGAGCAGTTAAAAAATACCAAACTAATTGAACAGAAACGGTGTATAAAATATCCTCTCTTTTTGTCATTTTTTTATCGAAAATCCTATATTTTTAAAAAAGTACAATCGGAGGCCAGGTATTAGTGTGTAAAAGCAAAATTAAATGTACGCCATCAAATTTTTGTCCTCTACTGCAATACCCGATGGCTCCGATACTAAATGTTATCCAAGGAAAAAATCCCGATAATTTCATATCTGAGGGCGTCTTTGTGAATATTGGCCAACGATAAATCTCGAATACTAGAGAAAAAAATAAGACATGGTGCCGAAGTATTTGATGTAGCTTTTCGTTCGCTCTCCGTCTATAATTATTTAAATTTCTCGAAAAAAAAAATACTCCGCGGCGGGGAATCGAACCCCGGTTTCCCGCGTGACAGGCGGGGATACTAACCACTATACTACCGCGGACATTCATGATTCTACGAAGTCATCTATAGATTTCAAACTGTGTCCATCAATGACAATATGTCAGTAATGTTCGTTCTACTTGTTAAAGTGATATCAGATCAAACTTGCATCACACTCTACATCGAATTTACTTCTGTTACATTTTTTTCTATAGTTGCTTGTTGCGTATGCGTCACATCATAAGTAAAAAGAACATCTATAAGAATTCGTAATACCGTTCAATTAAGTAATGTTTGCACAATTCAAATCGATAAGACTCTCATACGTTTTGTTGAGGATTTACATGTAGAGTTATGTATTTTCTATTTAACGATGCATTTATTATTAAAACATACTGATTTTGATATTCTCATTGAAAGAGATGAGTTTGATCGTTTCTTCTTAGTCAAGCAGAATAAATATAAACTAAAAACAGTGTTGACGTTAAACAAATTAAAAATATCTCTACAAATCTGAATCTAGTTCAAATTAGAACTAGCACACAGATCTATTTATTTTCGTAGAATAATACTAATAACAGCAATTTTGTTTTGTTCAAAAAACAAACTGGTTACCCTGCGCTGAATTCATCAGTCATTCTTTATACAACTAGATAATTTCAAAATTAGGATAAAAAAACCGGATGTCACCATTTGAAAGTCAATGCATCGGGTAAAATGACTGGGTACTTTTATAACTGACAAAAAATACCAAGAGTTGTTTGGGTTAAATTTTTACTCTCCTATCTATTTCAGCTAACCTTCAAAACCACTCTGCGGTTGATTGATCTAAGCATAACAGAGAGATAATGTCTAGATAGAGAATTTTACAAAATTTGTAAGTTCATCATTTTCAATCAAGTTGACAAAATGTAGAGGGTTTGGATAAAAAAAAGTTAAAAAGAAGCTGCTAATGGATGGACCGTCGAACATTCACTATTTCACATGTATATGGTTTAGAAAAATTAAAATTAAAATTCAAACGATTTGACATATAACTATGGAGGATTTTTCGGTATTTTATGGATTCTATTTCGATTGGCAGATGCGTTGAAGCACCTGATCGCATGCAGTAGTTCCTTGCATCGATATAACATAAACAAAAAAATGATATTTCATGAAAATAGCTACCTGAGCAGTTTCGTTAGCAAATTGTATTGCAAAAATTGATAGGAAATGAGATTCGAATATTTTTCAATTAATTCATTTGTCATAAAGTGCCGTAATCACTAACGTTAGTTGGAAAAAATTCCATCACCTTTGTGTGACATGCAATTGCAACGAAATCGTCATTGTTGACTCAATATTGATACAACAAAATTGGAATCATCCAATATGAGCTTACTATATAGGAACCCTGAATCGTAAGATCTATTTACTGTATTTTTCAACAAATAAATACAAGCATCAATCAAGTAGGTACACAACACTACATGAAATATTCAATCATAAGTTTAGTTGCTTGTTCTTAATGAAGAAAAAAATTCACTCATTCAAATTAGAAACATTTTTAAAAGTAAAGAACTAATAAGCACTAGCTATATTTTTGAAATAAATAAATAAATACTGATCCCCTATATGGTTAAACTCGACTCTTGCGTTCATTTTATTTTAGTTGAATTAATATAGTAAAAGAGTTTTATAATCGAAGCGAAAAAGTGATTTCTCTCATTTACAAACGCATTCAAGGAAACGATCCCGAACAGAAGAGTTGAAAAATCGCAATGAATCAAACTTATCTACGTTTGTTTTATATTTTTAGTAACAAATATGCCTAGTGAAAATGGTATTTATTGTATATGGCTCGATCTTCATATTGGAATCATTGAAGAATATCGAGCTTTTCATGAGAAATTTCAAGAAAAGCTTGCTCCAATAAACGGTTTACCACCGGATTCGATTAATAATCTGATGTTATGTTTCGAACAAGAAATTGCTCCAATCAAATTTGTTTCAAATATCGACGATGCTTTGGTTTTGATTCAAAATGAAACCGAAAAAAGAATCATTCTGATATCTTCAGGAACATTAGGCAAAAATATTGTTCCCTTTGTTACTGAGAATTACCCGCGTGTTTATTCTTTCTATATTTTCTGCGCGGTAATTAGTAATCACTGTCGTTGGGCACTGCCATATAGCAGTTGTTTACAAATGTTTGGTCATGAAACTGATCTGCTTATCCGTCTTCTTCGTGATATTTCAAAGGAATTCATCCATTTAGGGCGTTCATATCTAGCGGTAGACGAGGGAGAAAGTGCCCGACAATATTTCGTTACTGCTCAAACGCTGGAAATAGACGCTAACAATGCAGATACTATACATCATACATTCAACGAGCGTCTCGACTTGCTTCAAGGCCCAAATGGTCTTATTCGAAGAGCGAAAAATTTAAGAGACGAGCACATAGCACGTGAAACAATAGGTAATTTTTAAATCATATTAATTCTCTCATAAACTAATTATTCATCAAGGTTTTCAATCATACTCATTTTCATTCCTAAACGTTTAGTGTGTGACTTTCATCATTTGAAAGACGTCTTCCTTTTTTAGCACAAAAGTTCAGTTGTGATAAGTGATTGCTATGCATATTCTTTTTCCGTTTCAGCTGGTACTATACGAATACTTTAGCTAGAGAACGTGCTGAAAAAAGAGAACCTTTCAAGCGAATTTCCGTATGGATACTAACTATATTCGTTGTTGTTTCTGTTTAGCTTTCGTCGACGAAATTCAATATATACTTGTTGATCTCTCAGAATCTATGAATCCTACAGCCGAATGTATTGTACATTTTCTCAAGATATTTCTTTCGCCACAAACACTAATAACAATCGACAATTCATCAAGCGATGATATCATTCGTCTTATTGATAAGCCTACATGCTTGTTTACAACCAACAATGCTTTAGCTGAACTATTGAGAGAACGTTGCGGTTCAAGCAATCTATCGCTTTATATGATTGAAGACAATGCTGATCTAGTAGATAATACAACACTTTATGGTAATATCAATGATCTTGTCGATAAACTAGTTGAACTCATTGTTGCAAAATATCGACAGCAAGCTGGAAAACATAGAAATATAAGAAAGACTCAGTTGGCTGATATTGAAATGAAAATGGCTGAGCGGATAGAATACGAAGTAAGAAAATTGCAAGCGTCCCAGTTGAGTTAGTCTGCCTTGTTTTGTTGAAACACTTTTAAGTATGATGCTTTTGTTGCGGCATGTTTGTTCTAGCGCTTTTTTCATAATATTTTTTGAAGTTTTCAACTGTCAGCGGATATAAAATCTTAATGTTGAAACTATCGGTCGGTCAGACAAGTTGAATGATAAGTAATAGAAGCTATGATACTGTAAATTTCGAAATGGATTTCAGTAAGTAAACTACGCTTTAACAAAATATTTCATCGTTTATAATAAAAAAAAAGAAGCTCTCATGAACGCATTGATTCATATCATTCGATTGATCTAGTTGTGTAAAAAGAAAAGAGGCAGTTTTTTTTTGTAAATTTCAAATTTTCTTTATTTATTTGGCACATACGATTGTTCGTACTTCGATAGCAATGTTAGAAAGGACGCTTCGTGATTTTGTTGAACATGCTGTATCAGCTCATGCATCTGCTTTTGCAAATGTGGTTCCACTTTTTCAAATACATTATCGAACATGGTCGTGATTGGTGCACGTTTTATGTGCTCGCATTGTTCTAGTTCTTTCAATACCTAATGTTCGCATGATTGAATTTAGAAACTAGAAACAAAATACGAGTAAACTCACCATGTCTGTTGCTTCTTTTCTCCAAGTTTCCTCTTTTTCATTATTCCAACAGCCTCGTACATCCATATATCGACGAACGCGTTCTATGGGATCGATTATCTTTGCGTGATGCTGCATTTTCTCCTCGGATCGATACGCTGAACTATCATCTGAAGTTGAATGAGGACCAAATCTTTGATGAAAGAAACAAAATCTTGTAATCATAATGACGACAATAATCATATTTATACCTATCAACCATGGCTTCGATTAGTATCGGCTTGTTTTCATTAACAGCCATTTGACGTGCTGCTTTAGTTGCATTGTAAACAGCGAATAGATCGTGCCCATCGACACGTATTGCCATCATACCATAGCCAGTCCCACGAGAAGCAATGCCATCACCATGATACTGATCTTTGGATGGTGTCGAGATCGCATATCCATTGTTGCGGCTAAATATTCGTACAATTTCTTGATAGAAAACTGTATCAATGAGGAGTTTACCAGATGAATATAATTGGCACTTCGAGTGTAGCGGCAAAATTAAATGCTGCATGGGCATCACCTTCGCTTGTTGCGCCGTCGCCAAAATAGCAAACAACACATTTTTCATTAGCTGCACTGAAATAGAAGACACTCGATTGACGTACAAACAATAAGAGAACTTTTATTTTACCGCTTATAAGCATAAGCACTGCCGACAGCTTGTGGCATTTGTGTAGCCACAGTAGACGAGATAGTGACATAGTTAAGATCTTTCGAGCCATAATGAATCGGCATTTGAATTCCTTTACAAGAGCCTCGTGCATTGCCCATACATTGATCAATAAATTGATGTAGTTTATAACCACGATAGAGAAGAATACCTGTTGTACGAAAAACGTACTGTTGTATTATGAATCAAATCATATTATATTACCAGCTTCTCGATATTGAGCATAGACAAGATCGCCAGGATCGAGTGCTGCAGCACTACCGATTTGCGTTGCTTCTTCGCCACGATGTGTCATATAAAAAGAAATACGTTGTTGCCGTTGTGATTGAAATAAAATGTGATCCATCGTCTCAAGCATCGTCATATCTTTATATATTTTAATCAATTGATTGTCAGAGAACTAAGCAGAGCAAATTATGATTCAATAAAATAAAATAATAAGGAACTCACGTTTGGCATTTCATTTTTATTTATAATGTTACCATCTGTGTCCATTATCCGATATTTAGGAATAATTGATTTAGCTTTCGATGGTAGAAACTCTAGTTTAGTTGTAATGGGCACATTATCTAACGTTGAGGTTCCAGCCAGAACGGACGAATCAAATTTTGCAGCGGTGCTTTGGTATCGCTTACTCAGTTGACAAATAATTGGCCCATACAATCGTGAATATATTTTACCTGGCCATCGCTGCATCGTCAAGCTATAACTAGAAAACGACGAATGAAATTAATCAGAGAAAAACGTTTTTGAAAGAGACAAGGAGTCTTGGTGGATATTTTCTATCGAATCGTATGCCAGTCGATATACAAAAATGTCTGAATGATTTCGCAAAACAAGTATCTAAATGTTGACTTGGCAACTGCAGAAGTACTGCAAGCTGACGACAACATGATCTCACCTCGAACGTAGCGTAGAAGAAATAATCAAAGTGAAAATAAATTGCGTTCTCTCGTTGTGTACCGTTGTAGATGTACTTTTTTCTCGACCTGCACCAGAACTTCGAATTCGAATGAAGAAGAAGACAACAAATGTTATGAAATGCAAAAAAACGAAAGAGAATGTAATTAATAACAAAAACAAAACTTCATTGCTGTAGAAAAATAAACATATAAGAAGTTTCGTGGTCTGCGTTAATACTTCAGTTAACAAATTATTTTTCTATTACACTGCATGTGCTTGTATCTATCCCGAAAAGTAAAATAACACCGCTATTCAAATCATCATTTACTACGTCTTTATTATGTAAACCGGTACCGTTGCCATCTGTTCCATGTGGTTTGAAACTAATAAAATTTTACAATTTTGCATGAAATTAATTTCTCAAAAGATATGTAAAACGCATTATTATGATTTTAACTAATGCACGAATTGAAAATAGATTATATACAGCGTTCATCGTAAAATTCAGAGGATTTGAATATGAATATGCATAAACAAATGTGGACACGTTTTCATGATAATAGGATTGTGAATGAGCATCACTATGAAGCGTCTACCACAGTATAGATTCACGATTACACTCGAAAGCTATGGACCAACAAAACAAAACAATTCTTCTCACCACAAGATAGACTCTCCTGACAATTATGCCTTAAATGTGCGCGACCCCTTTCCTGTTACTGAGGGATTCGTGTCTATTAGTTGAGTCATTCTTGCTTTCTTTCCTGCGTGTATAACTTCATTCTGACTCACCCAAACACTGGTTACTATTTTTTGCATGGTGACTCTGAGAGATACCTTTTCATTCAAGTCAATCATAACACTACTGCTTGAAAGCGTCAAATTCAGTATCAGTTAACTGCCCTTCTGCATCGTTGTTTTTTCCATACGGGATTACGAACTTGAATCTTCTCAATATTTTTCTGTTGTAATCATCAAATAAGAAGAAAATGGCAGCTACTTTAAGCGATCGCTGCATTGGTTGCCTCTTGTGTCATATGATTGGTGATCAACTAGGTGCCGGTGTCGAAGGCTTTTCAGCTGTCAGAATTAAACGCGAGATTGGAATGGTACGTGATGATATAAAAGCACCGCATATGGGTATTCCGGAACTCGGACCTCGCATACATATGTATACGGACGATACAAATGCTATGCTTGCACTAGCAAATAGTCTAGTTGCGAATGAAGGCTTGAAAGCAAAACACGCAGCACAATCCTACGCACAATTTTGGTCTACTGGAGTCAAGCGAGGATATCCTGATTCTGCTCAAGCAAGTATGCAGGTCAGTGACATACTTTTTTTGATTGTAGTTCATCAATTTTCTTAGTATGAGTCACTTCATGTTACATCGAAGATACGTATTATGTAAACAAAAATAATCCTTTCTTTTTCATGTGCTGTTTTGTAAACTGCATCGGTTTGTTAAATTGTCTTGTATGGCTACTAAATCTTAACATACGATGTTTCCTGAGTGTTACGTAATTACTTTCTACTACACCCTAAATTATAATGCACACATTGCTCGATTCAAACAAAATGTTAGCAGTTTTCCAATTTTATCTAAAACTTGACAGAAATAAGATATGCGAAAAATTTATAAACAATTTCGCCAAATTGATTATTTTGATTTTACTGTTGATAGTGTGTACTTGATGGTAAGATCGACTATCGTGAATGTGGACGCATTAACTTTCCAGATGGGTCGTTTGCTAACGGCGGAGCCATGCGAATAGCTCCTGTTGCACTTGCCTTTCGCGATGCATCGGATGAGGAACTCTACGAAGCTGTTCGTATGTCTATTATTTCTTCGCATGTGCATCCTGAAGGTATAGACGGAGCTTTTGTTTTGGCTAAAGCTATTATTTTGGCTCTTCGTTGTGAATCAATTGATACATTCGATGCTTCAGGATATCTGAATACTCTGCAATCAACAGCGCGAACTACTAGTATGCAGAATCAGATCAAAAAATTGATTAAATTCTATACTGACCAGTACGGTACCAATAGCGCGAGCTCACAAAAGAAAAAGTATGCATCTGATTTATTAACGATTAAAATATGAAAAAATGAACATTCTCAATGATGAATAGTATTCATGAAAATTTTAGAGTAAATCTCACCCATGTTGAACAGGAACAAGTTCGATACTTGCTTTTTTTTCAAATCGAAAATCAATGACATATATTCAGGAGTTCTTAGCGGTTTCCCAACGATATTAAAATTACCATTTTGTTTTTCATTACTACTTGCAGGGCGGATATTGATATAGTACGAGCGTTGGGTAATACTTTTCAACTCAAAGCAATCGAAGCTGTACCTTGTGCTTTGTGGGTCGTATGTACTGGTTATTGTGAACCGGAAGAATGTCTCGTTCGTGGCGTTAACATGGGCGGTGATGCTGATACTGTAGCAGCAATGATTGGAGATATGGTCGGTGCTTTACACGGTTGGGAATGGATTCCTGCTCGTTGGTATGATAATATAGAACCGAATTCCGACGAGAACATGTGCAGAGGAAAAGAATATGCTATTGAACTAGCAAAGAAATTGGCCACGATGAGCGTACATAATGTACTAGATGACGATAGTTAATTTTATGAATAAATTATTTTAACTTTTACGATATTTGAAACAGAAGATTCATTAGCGCTAAAGCATTAATCTCTTGTTCTAATTGTTAGTAAAATCTCGAAGAGTATGTAGAGTTTATTAGTACGAATTTAAATAGCAGAGAAGAATAATTGGAAACTTCTGCATAGCATATATAATTTGCTTAAATTTTACCTTTCAGATGTAACCTGTTTCACCAATCGGAGATTATTCGATTCTAAACTAGAACATGTGACATTTCATGTAGATTGAATAGCAAAAGAAAAAGAAATGAAACATTGAATTCGAACAATAAGACTATGCCAAACTTGTATCGTATGATCGAAATTTATCATAAAAAAATCTCTTGCTGTCAGTAATTTTGAGATTAGTCAATTGGCTTGATAAAAAGACATATATTCATTGCATTCAAATGTTTACTGATTTGTTCGTGATGCTTCGTAGAAATGAACTCAATTCTTTTTCTCACTCTAGAACACGCTGCAGTAGGTAAATATTGAATTGATGATTTCTTATTAAGTTACAAAGAAAGACACAGGTGTCTACACGTTTTACATAAAACAGCTGATTGGATAGCTGCAAACAAAGCCACCATCACACCGGTGTTGCGACAACACGCTTCAGCTAAAAATGAAATTCGTTTGCTCTTTCGATTTTTTTTATGCTGCACATAAAAGGCGCAGTCAGGTGAGAGAAAATGGCATTCGACTACTTCGAGTAGAGCAACAAACATGGCATTGTCCAAAGATTACAACACGAGCCTTGAAACTTTTCGTATTTTCTGGCTCGATAAAAATGTACACCGTGAGGAGAACAAACATTCACAAATAATATTACGGGCAATCATCAATAATTTGCAAGTATTTGATGATGAAAGCGAATGTGAGAAAGTGATTCGAGATGTTTCTGTAGCTGATCGAATTGTACTCATTGTCAGCGGTAGCTTGGGCTGTGAAATTGTACCAAAAGTGCATGATCTGGAACAATTATCATCGGTTTATGTTTTCTGTTGGGATAAAGCTACAAATGAAATATGGGCACAACATTTTCCGAAGGTATGATTTATAATTGTCTAGCATTAATCATAATTTTATATTTTTGTTTAGGTAAAGGAATTATACGTTAAACTCGATGACCTAATTAATAGAATTCAAGAAGACCATAAACTAAGAAGAATGGAAGAAGAATCATTATCAATGATGACCGTTTTCAGTATGACTGGTCAACTAGATCAATCGTCATCGGGAATCAATGGTCAATTTGTACATTTTCAGTTACTGATTGATGTTTTAATTCGCATGAAACCGAATGTACATGATAAAAAGGAACTGATCGCCTTATGTAAACAAGAATACAACAATAATCAAACGGAAATGAAAAATCTCAGAGATTTCGAACAAAATTATTTGCCTTGTGAGGCCATACGGTGGTACACACGCGAATCGTTTATTTACAAAACACTGAACAAAGCATTGCGTGTACAAAATATAGATTTACTTTTCCTATTTCGGTTTTTTATTCGTGATATTTATCGACAATTATGTGAAAGTCAGGAGCCATCACAATTTGAAGTGGTTTTTCGTGGTCAATGGATGTCAAATGGTGAAATAGATAAACTTAAACAGTCTATTGGAAACTTTATTTCTATGAATTCTTTTCTCTCTACAAGTAAAAAAGAATTTGTAGCACGTCGATTTCTCGAAGATGATCGTGACCAAAATGACACTTCAAAGCAAAAGGTCTTGTTCAAGATCACTGCTGATCCTCAAGTCGGTGCTAACAAACCGTTTGCCGATATAAGCCATTTAAGCTACTTACAACTTGAATCTGAAGTTCTCTTTATGATTGGTTCAATTTTTCGATTGGATCGTATTCAAGAAGGTGATAGCAGTAATGATCAATTGAACATATTTGAAATGTCACTTTGCGGAGACAAATATGGACTGAAGAAGCTTTTCGAATTCATGAGAAAAGAATACGATATCGAAGAAACAAATCTTCTCTCGTTCGGAAATGTGTTAAGATCGATGGGGAAAATTAATCATGCTGAAAAATACTATCGGCGTTTACTTAATGAACTTCATGAAGATGATCCATTACTTGCTCATGTTTACTATAATATTGGTTTGGTGGCGAAATTAAAATGCGATTATGACAACAGTATGGAATATTATCAAAAAGTACTCAAAATCTCGACGGAAAATGGTCCAGTGGATAATGTGATTCTTGCTAAGACGCACAATGGAATCGGTGAAATTCTTTGGAAAAATGGCGAAAAAAATCAAGCACTAGAATCATTTAAGGAAGCTGTGAAAATTTTCGAACAGGCAAAATTAGGCGATCATGCTGGCATGGCTTTATTTCAAGATAATATCGGTCTGTTCTATCGAGAACAGAGTAATTATCATGAAGCGTTGTTTTTCTATGCTAGATCACTGATGATTCGACAAAAATGCTTACCAACAAATCATCCTGATTTAGCTATATCTTATAATAATGTTGGTAACATTCGTTTACAGCTGAACCAGTCGTCTATAGCACTTGAATGTTTAAAAAAAGCGCTTCAAATTAGAACCAAAGCATTTCCACCAGATCATCCGGACATCGCAAGTTCTCATAAAAACTTGGGCGATCTATATGAAAGTACAAATGAATTTAAGCTAGCATTGAAATGTTTTCATAATGCAGCTGAAATCTACCATGAAATATGGCTTCCGAATCATCCGGATGTTATTGAAATCAACGCAGATATTCAGCGAGTTTCAGATAAACTTGAAAAAGCGTAGAACGGTTTTCTATTTTTATTTCTTTCAGTTAACATTCAGCGTTTCTCTTTGGTTTGGTCATGCGACCAAAAGGTGTACGTGTGAACGTGGAATAATAGTGGTCATTTCTCTCACACATCGCTCTTATTTAATATCAATAAATAGATTTTTCCTATAAAAGTTTTGTCATGATGCAAAAGTCATCGTTTTAAAGTTGCATTGCTCGTTCTTCGGTCGACTCAGTAAAAGATGAACGAGATATAATGCCGTTCTAGATACTCTTCTAACTAGATTCTTACAATAATGGCCAAGAACTATGATAAGAACAGTTTTTTTTAGTTTTATTGTCGTGAAGTTTTGCGTGATTATACATTCTATAGTAGCAGTAAAATTAAAAGAAATCATTTAATGCGTAGAAAGAGTAATTTAAATGATGGCACATGTTGCTGACTGTTGATTTAATTTTGATTGCTGATCTTTCACGGCTAATTTCGATTGATCGACAGATGAGCTTGTATCGTTGACGGTCGATTCACTCATTTGGTTTGCGGCTGATGGATTAAGCGATATTGGTATATTAGCAAACGGAGCTAATGGACATAATTCCGTAAGTTGAGCAAACAATTGATTGATATCAAAGAAAACTTGCAGATCTTGAATCTTCAAATCTGATGATACGGTAGCTTTGCAAATTCCGTATATATTCACCATCTTATTTGTCGGCGTCGCCTTGTAGATAGAACCTGAAAAAGACGGGCATGAAAAAGAGCCAGTCATCCGGCCGAAATGACGCCATTTAAAGGTAACATTTGGTGGGCCTGAATAGAGTTCAATTACTTCCCAGGCGAAACCTTCTCCAAAGGCTCGTAGAAATCCCATTTGAGATTCAGAAAGTGTCATCATATTTGCATTGCAGTATGCTGTTTTGCCGATCAATACAGTGTAAGTGCCTAACCTGACTAAGTCATCGGCAGTAAATTTGGATAGGCCGTTGCATGAGAAACAATAGTTGTCCACGTCGATTGTTTCCCATTGTCGAGGATCCAATTTATGACTCACTTCTAGAATAGTTACAATTTGTCATTTAAAACAAATTCAATGAAAATATATTGAAAGGATCAGCTTTTTTTTAAAGCTTCAATTATCGATTAACAGAAGAAGAGAAAACGCAGTCGAACGAGAGTCCCTTATTCATTTTTGTAGAATCACGAATTCCGAACTGTATTTAAAAAAACAGTAAAGCAAGTTATAGTTTATAGACCTGAACCTAAGAAAATGCCTGCAGTGAAAACTAGCGCAACTAGTAATGATTCTGCGCCTAATAAAAAAATCACTAGATGAAAAACATAAAATCTAAATTCATCTCACTCGAGAAGTACATGGCGATTACTATTCATGAATAGTAATTGCACTAATGCTCAATGGTATCTTAAAATCTGCCTCCTTACTTACAAATTATTATCCCATTTCCCTCCACCACAACACACAATAAATGAATCCTTTTTTCTTTCTTCAAACAATATTACTTGACGCTTTGATGTAAGAAATAAAACAGTATACAGTCTTGTCTATAAATACAAATATTGTTGCTCAATGAAAAACTTACTATCGTATGCAGAAGCTGTGCTAAAACATGGCTATCATTTAGTGACTACCTTATGTTCTTCAAACTAATTAGATAAATTTTCAAATATATTCTTTCTTTTTTTTCAATAAGATTTTCCTCGCATTCCTTTCGCCTTTGGTGTCGTTGCTAACAGAAAATGTTCAAACTTGCAATATGGAATTTCTTGATTATGACAACTTTTTTCATCCAGTACGCTTTGTGAACGATAGAATTCTTGTTATTTCAATCGCGTTATTCTTACCTACTTCCCAATTCTTTACAATATTTTCGACAATTTCTTCCATTGAATCCGGCGTATGTTTACTTGACTTTTCCTGTACGTAAAGAGCAGCAGTTTTTGAATAATCCGGTCTACCATGTCGCCATTTGATATCACTTCGTGCGTCATTTATTACGTATTTATTATTCGTAGCATACGGCGGTAATGCCATTTCAGTAGTTAGGTATCTTAAAAGAAAAACAAAATCGTGTATTCTCATAAAACATACAACCAATCGAGCAGATGTTTTCAATTTGAAGTTTCATTCCTTGTGGAAAAACATTTCTATAAGGAAGATACTCGAAAGATTTCATATCAACTCCCACAGCTCGTCAATTTTTGCGCTGCCTGATTACAAGTTACGTCTACTGTTTGATACGTTTCTTTATATCATTGGCTGCCAGAATATAATTTAAGCGGAACTGACATATAAATAACATTAAAACACTATTAGCATTCATTTAAACTGTGTATCCTATAAGCCACTAGTTTGTTCATGCATAGATCATGTTGTCCTACTTACCCATGTAAAACAGAAGTGAACCGAATACTTTTAATAGTACTTTTTAGTCAAAAAGTATGAAAAGTACTTAAAAAGGTTCACTTACGCGTACTTTACCCTGCGTAAAACCTACTATTGAAAGTACTTCATTGTCACTTTTTTGGATAAACTTTTTTCACATGGGTATGTAAAGTAGATTACATTGTATTGTCATCAAAAGCGAATGTTATTTTTTTTAAATAATTTTTTGTTTGGTAAATGCTTAGCAGTGAAAGGAAAATAGATTCAACACAAACAGTAATGTTATCTGTCTATGTAACCCAAACCAAATGCATTTTAGAAACGACATAAAGACACATGCACACGGTAAGATATGCGTAAAAGTCATGCAAACAACAATATATCGACCTTAACAGGAAAATGGATACAGAGCGTGACAAGAATTTGCAAATCGTGTTCAGGATAAAAGCACCGGTCATGCGTTTTTTCAAAGAAATAAAACTAGCGTTGCACGAATGAGCGAATGTTTTTACTATGACAAAGTTTATATCGGTAGGACGCTCTGATAAAGAATGTAATCAACTGTATTATCCAGGCAATACATTGACTAATAAGCTAACGTCGCTAAAGGTACCAAGGTGGTTATAGATAGCTGAATCTTCCTTTTGTTGTAGGTCATTATGAACAGCAAGATAGGACATTTCTCACTGTTCACTGAAAGTTTGCAGACAGAAGAATCATATTATGTGTAACGTAAGATTAAATTTGATTGTTGTGTTCTATCTTTTTCTCTAAAAGTTCAAACCAAGTACATGAAAAATATTCATGAAAACTTCTTTATCAAATGTTGTCGAAAACAACGAGGAAAAGATCACTCGAATTTTATTCAGGACGCACTCAACTAAGATAGCTCGGTGACAAGTATCTCAATACACAATATATTTGTATAAGATTCAATAGTTTTTGTATGTAATTCTCGTACTGACAGATGTACTCACGTTTCTCTTTATAGGATAGCAAAGCACCTACATACCAACTCGATTAATATCTAGTTCGACATATTTTTCTCGATCAAACATGCTTACATCTGTCTGGAATATTTTTCAAATGAACGTCTATTATGCATAATTTACAATAGTAAGTGTATGTTACCAAATTTTAAAGCGACATTTAATTATTTCCTGCAAAAATAAAGAATACAATATTTTATTTTATTATTCTGCACGACATATTTCGTTGCTAAAATAGAGTACATTATCATATAATACAATTCATGATATTCTCCTCAATAAACAAATATAATGTAATTTAGTCACGCATTTTTTTCCGTTCCCAGAGTAAATAATCAGATGTTGTATGATCATATAAGATCGGACGAAAATCGTAGTCTCCGAAATCTTACATCAATTTGTACTATCAGATTCTTGAAAGAACCTATTGTATCTTAAGATATGACTCTACGATTATAGAAAATCTTATGAAATAGTAAGATCTTTCAAGCGTTTTATTGTAACAGTTAATGTGAAATTTAAGAGACAACGATTTTTTGTACGGTTCTATCTGGTTTCGCAAGATCTTACATCTAATTTTTTTGACCTGGGTTAACTCCTTTCTGAAATCAGATCTGCGAAAGTTTCAACTCGAAAAAATAGTTTCTTAAAATATTGAATTTTCAAGCAAACTGGACTTTCGGACCGTGTCGTGATATGAGCATTTCTTGCGCATTCATTATCTTGAGAAGGAAACATTCGTTCGTGCTGAAAATGTTAGAATGTTCTAACGATCATGAGACCTACATATAGAAAGAAAATTCAGATGAAAATTCCGTCATTCACGGTTTGGATTTTGGGATTTCGAATATTCTCCTTAAACTCATCTGGAGTATAAGACGAAATAAGTAAACATCAGTTTTAATTGAATATAATTGAGAGCCTCGATTATAGCATTGAATCAGATTATGAACCCATTCTGTCGGCTCCGAAACTATAAGACAGGTTCCGACAGTAATTATCCCATACAATTTCAACTGCCGAAAACCATAAGTATCCGTTAGTTGTCTAACGATTTCCGGCGATGAATTTTTCCCTATTCCTAAAATAGGATTCGACGATGAAAACTTGCCGAATTCAGCGAAATCCTACGCTAGGAAATCATCCATAGGTACTAGATTTAAATATTTCTTTAATTATAGATCTGATTCAAACGATGGCAAACACGATTTTGTTTAGTCATACGATATTTGATATTATTTCACTTTTATTTTAAACGTTTTATTGAACAGTTGAAATACAGTGGGGGGGGGGGGGGGGGGGGGGGGGGGGGGGGGGGGGGGGGGGGGGGGGGGGGGGGGGGGGGGGGGGGGGGGGGGGGNCTTTTATTTTAAACGTTTTATTGAACAGTTGAAATAAAGTAACCCCCCCCCCGCAATAGAAGACTCTGGTCTTGTAAAAACAAATTTTTACACTTTTTTAACTTTTTTTCGTTGATTTACTTATTGAATTGAATTTATTGGAGAGTACAAGTCACAGCAGGATAGAAGAGAAAGTAATAGCTTATCTATGCAGAATGAAAATACATTTTCGCCGGAAAGAGGAAAACAAATTTCCGCTAGAATGAAATCTATAAATGGTGCAAGAAGGAGAGAACAAATAATATTAAAGCTTATATGTATTAGGAATACATATTAAAATTAGTGAATATATAAAATATGGAAGAAGAACATCTTGTACGTTTTTATGCCGACGAAGATTCAAGTTTCGATGATCGTAACAGTTCTGATGATCATTCAAGTGTTGAAGTTACTTCAAGCATTGATGAATGTGAAAATGAACTAGTACGTTTATCAACATATCTTCAATTAGAATCCGATTATGAAAATGGTGATGATCAAGCTATTGAATGGCCTGAGCCACCTCCATCCTTAATTTCTCCAGACTCATCTGATATCGAAGAATTAAGTGATTCACATCAAGTGATATTGTCCGCAACGTCACTTCATAACGATAATATTCAAGAAAAATGTACGAAACGTAAACGACGCCAATGGACAATAAAAGAAAAACTTATTGCTGTTACATTGTTCGATAAAAATCAAAGTAAACGTAAAACTGCGAAGAGCGAAGGATGTACATCCTCTCAATTACGCAAACGGATTGAAAACAAGGAAAACTTATTAATGATGTTGAAAAATAAAAAAGATCCGTTTCTATTTTCTTTTAATTGATCGTAAAAATATCTACTCGTTCATATGTTAGGTGGTAAAAGAAAACAATTAGGTGGTGGTGGTAAAAAACTTGTTTACGTTGATCTTGATGATCAACTTTTTACTTGGTACCGGTCACGACGAACCGATCCCACACATAAATCTATTGCTCCAGCTGATATTTGAAGAGAAAAAGTTACTTTTCGCCATTTGGAAAAAGAAGGTCGCCGAATTTCTAAAGAATTGAATCATTCACTACCATCATCAAGTTGGGATTTCCGGTTTATGAAACGTAATGGTTTATCATTACAACGGCCGAAGAGACAAGATAAAGTACCACTTGATGAAGTTCATCGTTTAGCTAATTCTTTCTATACGTTCAATCGTCGTGCTAGTTTATGGTCAATTAAACGTGGTTCAATGGGTGCATTTACTGATGGAGATATTTGTAACATGGACAAATCTCCATTAGCACTTTTTGGTGATCAAGCTAAAACGTCTGTTAATGATATTGGAACAAGTAATGAAATAAATGGGTGCATTAGCAACAAGGTAATCTATCATATTATATCTGATTTATTAGATATTTTATTATAAATGAAATATTTACTCTTTTTTTCAATTATTATAGAGATTTTGCACAGTTATACTGACTGTTTTTCATAAAAATCAACGAATGGAGCCAGCTGTACTTTTTAAAGGTAAAGGTAATGTTGGTGTTGCTGAACGTCAACAATATTCAAAAGGTATTCATGTTATATTTACACCGAAAGCTGTAATTAATGGGCCATCGATGGATTTATATTGTACAAAGTGGTTGGAAAGGGTACAAAAATCTAATATGAGTACAGAAGGAGAATATCTGTATATTATTATTTGTCTTATAGGTACATGATGGTCATCCAAAGTTATTTGTAGCAGATTCGGCTAATTCTCACCTATAGCCCGAAATAATTCAAAAGTTACGGAAAAAGAATGTTGCTGTATCTATTATTCCGAACGGATGCACGCAATATCTACAACTTCTTGATACATCAGTTTTTTCTGTCTTCAAAAGTCATTATCAAGCTGCTGCTGATGAATATATTGATCTCTATAGTTCATGTAGTAAAATTAAATTAGCAGCTAAACAACAACGCATTTTATGTACTCGTTTAATTTCAACAGCATGGGTTCGTACTCAGAATAGTATCGTTTTTGAACGCGCTTTCGTTGATATTGGTTATACATGGATTGATGAATCTCCTGTTTCTATTCGAACTCTACAGGGATTTCTTTTTGGTCCATCAACAGTAACTTCTTCAATAATTGATGTTGATGATCGTGAAGACCAAGAAGAATATCGTGAAAAGAAAAAGATGGTCGAAGAAAATAAAAAGCACTCACATTTATCAAGCATGAAGAACAACAGTAAATTTAAACAACTTAATTTAGATCAGTTTATTAGAAATTAAAATTTCATTATAGTTCATGTTTTTTTCATTTTGTTTTGTATTTTTACTTTGTCTTTTAAACATAATCATGGTGAACTAACTAAATTATATATTAATAAAGTTTAATAACAATATCTGATCCTTTATGGGCAGGTATTCCTATTAAAAGTTGATTCATAATAGAAGACCCCTCTAAAAAACATGTACGCTAAAGCATAATAGAAGACCAGGGGTCTTTTATTCTGGGG